AGCCAAAAGCAAATGTAGGGTGTCCTTTGGAGCCAGGGATGCTGTGTGGAGAATCTCTGCAATCCAGGAGACAGGGCTGTAACACCAGCGATGGTGAGAAGCAGAGAAAGGGCAGCAGCCAAGGTAGCCGAACCCAGAGACTGGCATGAGGCCGAGCGACCGGCTCCTCCATCCACACCTGCAGAATGCGGAGTGCCTTCAGACAGGAGGCTTGCTCGAAGGAGTGAGGGGACCTCTGGGCATGTGACAGGGCTGGAAATGGGCTCCGGCCTCTGAGCACATCAGCAGAGCTCAGAGGGCTTTGGGACACTTGTGCGGAGGCCAGACTGAGGGCCCCAGAACCACAAAGCTGGGCTGGCAGGATGAAGAGACTGTCTTCACCCAAGTACTTCTCCTGAGCTGTTCCTGATCCTGAGTTGGGAACTTGTTACTTCGCTCATAAACCCCATAATCGGGAGTCTTGTCTTAGAAGTTCTGTGTGGCCATGGTAATTAATTCTTTTCTTTTTTTCTATCACTTTATTGGAGGCTCACACAGCTCTTACCACAATCCGTCCATCTATCCATTGTGTCAAGGACATTTGTATATTTGTTGCCATCATCATTTTCAAAGCATTTTGTTTCTTCTTGAATTGTTAAACCTAGCTGAGAGGATGAGGGTGCTGTAGGGGGGTGGTGGCTGGACTCAGAACTGGTGAAAAGGTTGTCGGGTGGAGGCATGTCTGACCTTGATCGCGAGCTTTCTCTTCTCCCGAGCCCCCTGTGAAGCGAGAGGAGGTGACACAATGCCTCTGCCACGCAGTGGGCAGCAGTGATGAAAGAGGAACATCTAATGGCTGACATTGTGACTATTGTCGCGTGCGGTGTTGGATTGGAGCAGAAATAAAGACAGACATGGGAAATGTTGTTTCACACCAGCAAAGGGTGGACACCTCTGGGGTGTCGTGCCGAAGGCTGCCCTGCACGGTATTAGAATCTCCTGCCAGCTAGGGCAATGGTCAGTAACATGGATGCACGTCCTCAAAGCACACAGGAACGAGGGAGCAGATGAGCACTAGGTTCTCACAGCAAACGGCCTCCTCCGGAGACTGGGGGGTGTTAGTCCTTGAGAAAGAGCACAGCGCCCTCGGGCAGCTCCTGCTCCCAGCACCGCAGCCCAGCCGCCTGCAACTCCCTGATTTGCGAGGGGCATCTGGTGTCCATGGAAACACTCCACTGCCCCCAGCCTCTGTTAACTCCTTCGGGGCCAGCATAATGTAATGAATGCCATTAAAATGTGTGCTGGAAACGATGAGAGGACAAGTTTTGTGTGACTTTATCACACTCAAAAAGGTGAATCCATTTTCGTATGTAAGAATTTGAGAAGTGACGTCAGCATGTGCAGCGGGCAGTGGCGCCATGACCACTCTGTTGCTGGCCCATCCTCCTTGGCCTGTTCTTTTTGTCTTGACGCTGAAGGGCTCATTAGCATCTTCTTCGCCTTGTTTTAATGATTGTGGAAACCATTCCAAATGCAATGTTACACTTGCCTCTTAATGTTCCAGTTTTAATTTTCCGAGTGGAAACAGACCTTGGGTACATGTCAGTGTCTATCAAGTCTAGACGACTTTGCACATCGCGTCCCTGGATTTTGACACTCGGCACGTTTGAGGCCGGCCAGTGCAGCGTGCTGAGTCAAATGCACTGGCTCCGAAAGGTGAATTAAAATTACAGATGATGGATGTGTTTCTCCTCTGGCCTTTGGGGTTACACATTTTAAACCTACTTGGTACCTCACTGGCTCATCTTAGGCGGGTAGCTACTCTTCTGTCTATGAAAGGTCAGGTTTGGAGGGTGACCGATGGTAAAAAGCAGTGGCCCCTGAGAGTCACAGCAGCACACAGTTGAGGCTAGATCCGTTACTTGCAGTTTAAATAGTGGCTTTTGATTTGAGGAATGATGACCATGATTCTGGTCTCGGACCCCCAGCTGACCTGTTCCAGATGAGCTTTCTCAGCAGGGCGAGTGGCCAGGCTTTCAGGCAAGTGGCCAAGGAGGGGCTCGTGGGTAGTGGATGCCTGGGGGCCTCTGAGGAGGGAGGGAAAGGACACCTGGACAGGGTCATGCTAGAGTGGCAGAGTGGTGGAAATGGGCAGTCCGGCTATGAGGTTGTCTCCCTAGTGAAGGTACGAGACGGTGAAGACCACACGGCAGAACTGGTCTGAGCAGGGCTCAGGATTAGGAAGGTGGTGAGGGTCCCCAGGATCCTGGGGCGATTGCCTGGTTCCTGGCTTCACGGATTGGCTGCTGCCATTGACTCCCTGTGCTGCTTTCCCGTTCAATATGTTGTCATCTGACAGAGCTTCTACAAGAGCCAAAGGAAGGTGCTTCCCAGGAGTCCCTGCCAAGGGGCTCCTTTCCTTAATCATGGACTCTGGACTCCTTTTCTCAGCGGGCCTCCCTGACTTTAGTTGTATTACTGTATCAAGCTCTGACTTGATCGGAACTAGGGGCCATAAATATGCAAGATGTATCCCTGCTGATGTCAGATGGATCTTGGCTGAAAGCAGAAGATACCAGAAAGATGTTTACTTATGTTTTATCGGCTACGCCAAGGCATTCGACTGTGTGGATCATCACAGACTATGGGCAGCCTTGGGAAGAGTGGGAGTCCCAGAACACTGCACTGGGCTCATGCAGAACCTGTACCTGGGTCAACAGAACAGTGGGATACTGCGTGGCTTAAAATCAGGAGAGTGTGCATCAGGGTTGTGTCTTCTCGCCACACTTATTCTGTCTGTATGCGGAGCGAATAATCAGAGAAGAAGCTGGATTCTGTGAAGAAGAATGTGGCCCCAGGTTTGGAGGAAGGCTCATTAACAACCTGCGGTGTGCAGATGACACAACCTTGCTTGCTGAAAGTGGGGAGGACTTGAAGCACTTCTGATGAAGGTCAAGAATTGAAGCCTTTAATGCGGATTCCAACTCAATATAAAGAAGACGAAACTCTTCACAACTAGACCAGTAGGTAACATCATGACAAATGCAGAAAAGATGGAAGTTGTCCAGGATCTCATCTCGCTTGGATCCACAATCAGTGCTCATGGACACTGCAGTCAAGAGAGCAAAGAGTATATCACATTGGATAAATCTGCTGTATAAAACCTGAGTTTGAGAAGCGAGGATGTTACTCTGAAGACTGAGATGCGCCTAACTCGAGGCAGGGTATTTTCCCTCGCCTCGTACGCATGTGAAAGCTGGCCTTTGATTCGGGAAGACTGCAGAAGAATCAGTACATTGGAAGGGTGGTGCTGTGGGCGAATATGGAAAGTACCTCAGACCGACAAAAGAACAGACAAATCTGTCTCGGGAGAAGTAAAGCCAGCATGCTCCTTGGAAGCACAGATGGGCAAGGCTGGCTCAGATACTTGGGACATGTTGTCAGGAGCGACCAATGCCTAGGGAAGGCTTGGAAAAATTGAGGAGCAACAAAGAAGAGGAAGATGCTCCACGGGCTGGTTTGGCACAGTGGGTGGAAGGCTAACAGCTGGAAGGCTGGCGCAGGGCTGCACTGCTTGATGCCGCTTCCCTCTAAGTTGGAACCCACTCCAGGCCACCTAGCCGCAGCCACATCCATCGGGAAGTGTCGGTGGAGTTCTAGAAAGGGAGCTGCCTTGGAGTCTTTTCAGACAATCTAGCCCTGGAGCTTTGAACCACGTTTCAGCTGTGAGTCACCAGTGGTCCACACAGTGCGTGTTTTGCTGAAAGGGTAAATGAGGTCTCTTTAAAGGCCAGTTCAGAGCCCTGTTGTGCTGGCCGCCTCAAACAGCAAGAGCCTCTTCTCCCGGGAAGCCTAGCACATTAAATCATTAATTGCTCTCCGTGTCTCCATAGCATCAGCATAATGATGGGACAGGATGAGGCCAAGGAGAATCCGTAATCCCGGGCACAATGGCCTGGTGTTTAGGCAGACTGTTTCTAGTTGGTAAATCCTATTGACCCGTCCCTCCAGATTGTTTTGGGTTTGTTTTTTAATGCAGATAGACTCTTCTATCAAGCCCATGGACCTTAATGACCCAGTTCTCCTCCCCTGTCATATTGAGCCTTGGGGCTTTTTTGTGTTTGGGACTGTTGTAAAGACAGCTGCTGCTGACATTTGTGTTCACTTAGCCTTTTGCTTTTTGAGAATTACTTCCTTAGGAGACATTACCGAATGTGAGACTCCAGTCAAAAATCAGAATATTTTTCTCATTCTTTGCTACATGTTGCTTTACTGGTTTCCTAAAAGGGTATTAGCAGCTTAAAGAGCCATGTATTTTTTCATCATTTTATTGGGAGCTCTTACAGATATTATAACAATCCACAATTCAAGTAAATCAAGCACAATTGTGTAATTGCTGCCACCATCCATTTCAAAACATTTTCTTTCTTCTTGAACCCTTTGAACTCTTGGCTTTCTCTCCTCCCTCCCCCACCCTGCCTCCCAGGAAATAAAGATGTTCTGCGTGATCACATACATGGCAATATATATCTATATACCGCCCAGTGCCTCCACTCTCCTACAGGTCCGTCCTTCGCTCCCCTCCGTGGGCTGTCCAGCCACCATCGCTACGGGTTCACCCTTTCCCTTCCTTCCCCGCCTTTCTTCCCATGCCCTCAGGGAATCATTACTCCTGTTACTATTTCTTAAGGATTTATCTATATTGGATTTCATGCATAGAATTATCTTAATTATACAAATGAACATGCAGGTATAACAAGATTAATGAGGTAAAACTAAGACTATAAAAGTAAGGGGAGGAGATATCAAAGAACTGGAGGATAAATATGTGTATCATCACTGTTAACTGCAGCCTGGCTATATCATCCAAGGGCCATCTTTACTGATTCATGAATTTCACTGAGATTTCTCCCTCTGGTGTGACTTATCCATTAATACCCTTCAAAGAACAAATTCTTTCACAATTAGCACGACACCCAGAAGTTCTGATGCCTTTTCTCACCCGTCTGCTCTGAGATCAGAGGGTGTCGGTGTCCCTGTTGACTGGCGCCCGCAGTGATCTGCCTTCATTTTCAGATGGCCTCACGCCCCTGACGGCTGTGAACCTGCTCACCCAGCAGGAGGTCCCCGTGGTCATCGTGGCCGAAGCAGACTTTGAGGGCTCTCTGGATTCAAGAGTAGGTAAGCAGGGTTATGCATTTTACAGTCCTCTTGTTTCCTGGTCCGTATCATTTATTTTTTTATTTTTTTAAAAACTCTTTATTGGGGGCTCTTACTTCTCTTATCATAATCCATACATACATCCATTGTGTCAAGCACATTTGTAGATATGTTGCCATCATCATTTTCAAAACATTTTCTTTCTACTTGAGCCCTTGGTATCAGCTCAAATTAGCCCAGATGTCCGAAATTAGTCCATATGTCTGATACCTGTCTATAAATGCCTCTTCAGACTCATGCAACAAATACAATGCTGCTGAATGCAGGAAGACCACAGGCTAGTGGGTGGAGAGTCTTGTGGATCCAGTGGTGGAGAAAGCATCTCAGCGCTGGCATGGGTCTCCACGTGGCTCCTTCAGCTCCGGGACTCTGGCTGGGATCAGCCTGGCTCCAGGTGTCTTGTCAGTAGAAGGATTAAGCAGAGATAGAGTGTGTGTCCAGCCTCCAGGGAGGAAGACAGGAGTTCCCAGAATCCTCAGGAGAAGGCCACGCCCACACAGAGGCCTCACTGGCTATGGCCTGATTGACAGGCTAGGCTCCACCGCTTTGCTCAGGTTGACAGGAGATCATGGAACTGCCATAGCGACCATTCCTCCCATTGCCTTCATGCGTTTGATAATGAGTAAGTTTCTGAAGGTGGAGGCAGGGTCCACAATAGAGGAAGTCCTGTGGCATGGCCCCCCACACCCCTACCCTGCCCAGCTCTTTCAAGAAGACTGACCCAATATCGAGAGTTCTGAAGAGGACGACAAAGGCCGACTTTTCCACTGTGCACAGGAATTGTCTGTCCTGGTGTCTTGGTTTCTTTCGCTGATATAAGTCACATTGGTAAATGGCTGCTTCATGCCCTCCAACGAGAACAGAAGCGGAGATGCACAGAGAGCCTCGTTCCACCTGCATGGCTCCAGCTGGTCCCCAGGGCTCTACCATGGGCGGGGGTGGGTGGGGGGGTGCCCTGTGCCCCGCCCTGCGTGGCCACGGTGTTTCCTTTCAGCCAGTGCGCTGTCTGGTTGGAGTCGTGACTCTCTCCCCTGCCTGGCTGGCCGTCGGTGTTGTTCTGGACTGGCAGTTGCTGGCCTTGTCACCCTCATCCCTCTACTCGTCACCCTCTCGCTGACGTTGGGTTCCTTTCAGTGGATGCAGGTTCCCCGCAGTCACGCCCGGAACACCACACGTGCTGCCACCGCCTGACACCCCAGAGCCTCAAGTCACACTGGAGAGAGTGAGGGCGTGGCTCTCCAGTGCCAAGCACATGAAGTGTTGAGGCTGCCCCACGGGTGTTGCAGGAGGGCTGTGCCCCCCTCCCCCTCCCCAGGGTGTCCAGGCCCTTTTTCCTATGGCCCCTCAGACCACTCAGACCATCACAGGACATGAACTGACTGCACCGCCCCTTTAGGACGGCACCACAGTGACCCTGCTGTACAAGAAAGTCGGCGGTTCTGACAGGTGACCCTGGAGCAGGAGTCCCCAACCAGGGACAATTTTGCCAGCAGGGAGGTAGGGCAATGTCAAGAGGGATTGACAGCGAAGGCATTGCTCAGGTAGGGGCCAGGGGTGCTGGCCAACATCCTGCAGTGTACCGGGCAGCCCTCCCCACAAAGGGTGATCTCCTTTGAGAGGGCACTAGTGCCAAGGTAGAGTCAGAACTAACCACAACAGCACGGGAACACCCCACCCACCCCCTCACCTGCCCGGTCGTCGTGCGTGCTGGCTGCATTGCTCTGGTGTGGGAAGCCACCGTCACCGGCATTTCAAATACTAGCAAGTCGGCCGTTGTCCGCGGTTTCAGCAGAGCTTCCAGGCTGACGGATGAGGAAGAAAAGCCTAGGGGTCTACTTTTGAAGATGTACCAACGAACACCAGGCTTCCTTTCTTTGGACACATCATTACCAAAACAAACTCACCGCCATGGAGTCAATGCCAACTCCTAGCGACCCTGGAGGGCAGGGTAGAACTGCCCCTGGGAGTTGCTGAGACTGTAACTCTTTACAGGAGCAGAAAGCCCAGTCTTTCTCCAGAGGAGCAGCTGGTGGTTTTGAACTGCCAACCATGGCAGTCAGCGGCCCCACGAGTAACCACTGGGCCACATCATTCGGAAGGCTCAGTTGCTAGAGAAGGGCATCATGTTGAACGAAGCAGAGGGCCAGCAAGACCAAGGAGACCCTGGTGAGATGGATGGGCACGGTAGCCCCCCACTGAGGACTTGACCATGTCAGCCACCATGAGGAGACTCGGGGCCCGGCAGTGCCCCGTTACGTTATATGGTCAGCTGGTCTGAAGCTAGCTAGCTAGCCATCTAGGAGCCGCCCAGACTGGGCTCCACGTTCCCGGGAAGTGAGTGTCATGGGGCTGTGTAAGTGTTAGCGTTTGAAAAGGCAGCGAGCCTCCTTATGAAAGCTGGAGCCGGGTGCCTGTGCTGCCAGTGACACTGGCTGGTCGGCTCTTTGGTAAACCGGGTGCTCCGTGTCTCTTCTCTGCATAGGAATTCCCAGCACCAGCTCAGAAGACGCCGCCCTGGCCCAAACATTAGGTCTGCCCTACACCGAGGTGGTTGAAACGTTGCCAGACGGCACCGAGAGACTAGTCAACTCTGCCGAGGTGGGTGCCACAGGCCTCAGAATCAATCCGCATCTAAACCCGTGGACTTGACTCGTTCCGATGCCAGTGTAACCTTACTCCTTCGCTCGACCTCCCGTGCCTGACAGTCTGGCCGCCTCATTTCTTCCCTCGTATCTTTTTCCGAGACAAACTCAAAGTCGAGTGCGATCCCAGGATGATAGATCCGTGAAGCGGTGAGGGTATTTTTTGTTTATTTATTTATTTATGTTTTAGTTCAAGGACTGTTTATTGGCCTTTAGGATTGTTTTCTGGCCAAGTCTGATGGGGTGCCAAGCCCGGGCCCAAAGTCTATTTTGGGTACTCCCTCGGGACTTCCTAGCTCTGCTCCCCTTGCTGTTCTGTTGCACACCCGTAGTGTTTCGCCTCGGTGTGGTGGGGTCAGATGGAGTGCAATCCCCACACTGTGTCTCAGTGTTGTCCCCTGTAGGGCTATGGGTCAGTGAGGGATGTCTGTCTCATAGTGGGGCCGGCCATATGGTCCTCTCTGTGGATTGGCTGCTCTGAGCAGGAATATCGTCCTCAAGGCTTGGTGGGCCAGGATGTGCTCCACTCTCTCTTCCTCCCCCTCCATTTGCTCCCGTGTGCTCTGATCAGACACGTCCCTCTCCCTGAGCCGTAGCTTCCGTGCTGTCCTCTGAAGTGAATTCTTCTGGGGGAAGGGGCAGGTGTCTGAAGTGGTGAGGTTTTTATTTGGGGAAATCTGCGAGAGGAAAATCACCTCTCTCAGGTAGGCTGGGTCTTTGGGAGAGATGACTGACATTGTTCTTCGGAGCGATCACAGTTCTTCTCAGATGACTTCCTCCCTTCCTTCCGCCTAGTGTACGTCATGCACAATAAGTACACAGAGGACTTAGGAGCCAGGTTTATGTGGTAAAGGTTCTCTCTTATTAGGAGCCCTGGTGGCACAGTGGTTAAGTGCTTGGCTATTAACCCGCAGGTCAGTGGTTCAAACCCCCAGCGACTCCATGTGACAGGCTGCGTCCACCAAGATGATGGTCTTGGAAACTGGGGCAGGCAGTTCGGTCCTGCAGACTCACTGTGAGTCGGAACGGCAGTGGCCATCTCCAGTAACAGCAGCACTAGGAGGCTGTAACCCGACGGGACTGAGCCCGGCCTCGATGTGAAGCTAGGCAGGAAGTCTGATAGGAGAGGGAGGTTAGGGGAGGGTGGGAAATGGCTTAGAGAACTGACCCTCTGTCTGAGCACACACACCAGAATTACCCGGTAGCCTTGTTAAAACAGATCAACGGACTCCCACCCCAGAGATTCTGATTCCGTGGGTCGTGGGTGGGATCTCAGAATGTGCATTTCCAACAAGTTTCCAGGTGCTGCTGCTGTTGCTGCTGGTCCAGAGACCACCTTTTGAGAATTGCTGCCTTCGACCCTCTGCTACTCAGCTGGGTCCCTGGGCCAACGCAGAGGCACACACCACCACCCCACGCCCCCACCCCAGGCTAATAAGATCCCCCAGGTGACTCCTGTCACGTGAAAGTTTGAGAAGCTTTCCTAAACTTGGCTGCACTTCAGAAACTGCTGGCAATGTTTTCTGCAAATACTGTACTACTGACACCCAAGTGCTACCGCCGTGTATTCTGATTGGATGGATTTGGGGAGGAGGCATGGCCTGGACCGTAAAAGTGTGCCATGCCCCAGATGAGTGTAGTGTCGAGCTGAGTTGGGTACTGGCTTAGGGTAGTGGCCCTACACCTGGCTGCCTCTGAGTCACCTGGGAGGTGTGTACCGGCCTCACTCTACAAGACCCTGATTCACTTAGAATCTAAGTTTAGACATGAGAGCCAGGTCTTTCAGGCTTGGGAGCCCCTGGCACTGGATCTTAAGAGTGAGACAAAGGTGACGGCCAGGTCATCTCCCCCCCCCCCAGGAGTCACGTTCTGAGGATGGCATATTTGCACCTTCACTTCATAGACTGTGAGATCCCCAGACGTAAGTCAGGCACTACAGTATCCATTGGAAGCTCTGTTTGGAGACCCCGTTGAGCAGGCTGCTTGGAGGTGGAGTGGAGCCAAGTCCAGAGGTCACAGAAGGGAGCCCAGACCAAGAAAGGGACTCTTGTGACCAACATCAGGCTGATGAGGGACCCAAATCCTCGGTCTAGGCTCTGAGCCTTCGGTACACCTCCTGGCTCCCGCCAGACAGCTTCGTCTAGTCTGCAGTGGCCTGGCTGTAGGCTGAACATAAAGGTAAAGGAGCCCTTTCTGTGGACGGACGGAGAAGAGGGTGGCAGGCTCCTCCCATCTGCCAGTGCTTAGCACACGGGATAACCCATCATCGATGGGGCAGACTTTATCTTGTTGTAGCCGTTTTATTGACATAACTCACATAACATACAACTCAGTGGTTTGAATAGCTAAAAAAAAAGTGGGGGAGTTGTGCAGTCATCACCCCAAACCGTTCTAGAGCCCTTGATCGATGTACCTATGGAGCAGCGAGGCTTTGATTGTCTGCATCCAACGTAGATGACTGAGTCTCTGGGGCTAGGATGTAGGCATCTATATTTGGCCGGGAGTGGGGTGGGGGGGTACAGAACAAAACAGCCTCCCAGAGCATCAGGGGGCCACTGGGTAGAGAACTCTGTACCTTAGGGGACACTTCACTTACTTGAGACTGTTCATAAAAAGGGGTGCATTTAGCAAATGTAGCTAGCCTGCTTGCTTTTTATGCTGCATGAGCACAAACTGTTTGATGTCAGGAGCCAGGTCCTTCTGGTCTTTCTGTGCCCCACCCCCCTTTCTCCCTAAGGTGCCTAGCACATAGTAGGTGTGCAGTATGTTTCCGCTGAACCGGTCCCGGGGCCCTCTGCCCAGGTCATGAGTGAGCCATGCTGCCTGGGCTTTTAGAACTCCTTTGGTTCTCTGAAAAGCCTCGGGCAAAGGAGTCTCTCCCCGGGGCTCTTCGTGTCTATAAAATGAGAGCATTTAAACACGCAGCCAACACGTTTCTGCGCCATCCAGCTGAGGTCTCAATTCAATCCATTCCCTTCTTGCCTGGATGCCATCTGTTAGAATAAGACTGAATGCCCCCCCCCCCCCAGCTGTATAACTTAAAGGGAAGGAGGGCAAAAAAAACCCTGACTTGATGTTCCTGGACTGAGGAGATGACACTGATCATCTGGGCCCCTGTGGATGTCACTGGCCCACAGAGCCAGGGCCAACATCCCCAGCAGGCACAATGCTCATGGCCCGCGGTGTTTTGTTTTAAGTCATTTTGTTGGGGGCTCATACAACTCATCACAATCCATACATCCATCCATCGTGTCAAGCACAATTGTACATTTGTTGCCATCATCATTTTCAAAACATTTTCTTTCTACTTGAGCCCTTGGTATCAGCTTCTCATTTTTTCCCCCGACTCCCTCAGGAACCCTTGATAATTTATAAATTATTAATTTTTCATGTCTCATGCTGACCAATGTCTCCCTTCACCCACTTTTCTGTTGTCCGTCCCCCTGGGAGGGGTTACATGTAGATCCTTGTGATCGGTTCCTCCTTTCTCCCCACCTTCCCCTTAGACTCCTGGTATCTCTACGCTCAATATTGGTCCTAAGGGGTTTATTTGTCCTGGATTCCCTGTGTTTCTAGCTCTTTTCTGTATATGTGTACATCCTCTGGTCTAGCCAGATTTGTATG